TCGGTTTTATAGCTAGATGCTTATAGACAGGCTGAGGAATGTGTATGATTGGGTCTCTCTCTCTCTCCACCCTCTCCTGAGACACACTGTTCTGCATCCTTGTACTAGCTAGAATGCGTGCTTCTTCAGGAAGACACTGCAGTAGAAGCAAAAACTCTATTGTATGGTCTCCACAATGAGAGAGTCTGAACTATTCCCTCCTTCAGGAACAAACTGGTGTTGTGCTGACAAAACTTAGCCTGTTCTTTCTCTCTCATTGACAGGTAGTAGCCTCATCTCCTTATGAAAGAGAAGGACATGGATATGCTGCCTTGCAATTACTGAAGGCCCTGCACCACAATATCCATGCAGCAGTGGGTGAGATGTTGGTAGTAAAGATCCCACCTCTGCTGCAGTACATTGAAGGTAAAGTGCTAGTTAGGAGGAGTGCGGTCCATGGCAGGGAAGCCACAAAATGCAGCTTCGTATTGACATGTGTTGTGCCATTCCTGTTGCAGTACATGAGAACAGTGGGGAATTGAAGTTGGGGTTCTGGGCCCTCACTTTTCCTTCACCTGGATAACTGGGAACCACTGGGGTAAATCCAGAGTTGAACCACTGAGGCCAATTCAATCAGGGCAGAATCAGGCCAGGAAGGTTTCAGCTGAATGGAAATTTTACAGCAGTTCCCCCCACACCTTTGCTAGGTTATTAGTTGGGAAGGTGAATACCCATGAAGCTGGAGGTTAGTGAAATATTTTGGAGTTACATATATAGTCTGATTTTTGGAAATGGAATTTTTCTGAAAATTAAACCCCATGTTTACTTTCAAGGGTGATTCAATTAAAAAACCCAGAGTTTTCTTTCTGTAAGGAAACTCGAGCCATAAAAGCTAGGTTGGCCAAGTGGCTGCCCTTTGTACAATCTAGGTATTATGAGCCTAAAAATGTCTTTCACCAATTTTACAGTGGTATGAATCTATTGACCTCCGTGGAAAAAACCCTTCAATCAGTGTAGGCCAAGGGTAGGCAACCTATGGCACGCGTGCCAAAGGCGGCACACGAGCTGATTTTCAGTGGTACTCACACTGCCGGGGTCCTGGCCACTGGTCCGGGGGGCTCTGCATTTTAATTTAATTATAAATGAAGCTTCTTAAACATTTTAAAAACCTTATTTACTTTACATACAACAATAGTTATATATTATAGACTTATAGAAAGAGACCTTCTTAAAACATTCAAATGTATTACTGGCATGCGAAACCTTAAATCAGAGTGAATAAATGAAGACTCGGCACACCGCTTCTGAAAGGTTGCCAACCCCTGGTGCAGGCTGTGTCTACACTATGGGGTTATACCAGCAGAGCTCCAATGACATAGCTGTGCCAGTACAATCTCTGTGGAGTATGACAGACCCTATGGGGAGCACAAACCCGATATCTTTCTGATGAACATCGGACCCCAAAATGTTCAAGTGGGTTTGATATTCAAAAAAAGATTTAAGAAATGAGCTGTATCTTCCCTAGTTGTTGTTGCTGTACAGAGTCCCCAGTATTACATTGTGCCGACATTAAAGAAGTGTAGGTTAGAGCTGGGCATTTAGAAACAGGGCCAGATTCTCAGCTGATATAAATCAGTATAATTCTATTGACTTCAGTGAAGCTACACCGATTTACATCAAGTTAGGATCAAGTCCAGAATCTCTTATTATGCAGGAAAAGTTTGTATTCACATTAAACCCAGTCTCCTGAGGTGCTGAACAGTTTTGTGACGTGCTAAGCACCCTCAGCTCCCATGAAAGTCAACAGGAATTGGGAGTGCTCAGCATCTCACTCCTGGTGGGTTGACTGACCCTGAATAAAAATGCCAGCAGGGTACATAACATGATACTTTCTGTTGGTCCAACAAAGAACGTTGGCGTAGGTCCCATTTAGCCTTGAAAGCCCAGATATGTTACAGCTTGGCAGACCAGGGGTTTTAGGACTGATTGCAAGGGAGATACCTGGGACGACTCTTCTTGCTAACCTAAGTGACGTTATTGTTTTGCCTCCTGCTTTATAGGAAACACAGAGAATTCCCTGGACCATGAACGGTGGGAGCACATGCTGCTTCAGGTACAAGATGGCTTTCAGCTGTATTGTCACAGCCCTCCCTCCCCCCTCCAAATGTACCAGCTGGGGAAAGAATAATGATAAATTATTCATTATAAGCAGAGCTGGTCAAACCATTTCATTTGCAACTTTTGTTCAGTGAAAAATGGCCTTTTTTATTTTCATGGGACATTTTCAAATTTTTCAGAGTTTTTTTGAGGTTTTTTTTTACACAAAACAAAGCAACCCCAACCCAAATAGAAAATGTTTAGTTTTTTGAAACTGAAGTTGATTTTGGGTTTTTTTTTCCCAGTTGTTTTCCTGTTTGTCTCCCCCCTCCGGCTTTTTCAGTCACGAAGTGGAAGGGGGGAAACAGGCATGGGGACCAGGGATAAAGGGAAGGAAAGAGGGAAAACAAAGATTTGAATAATGGTCATTTTTGATTTTGAAAAGCAAAATATTTTTGGTTTTTTCACTTTTTATTTGTGTGTTGAAAAATCAAGAAAACAAAAAAATCCCACTTGTTTTCTGAAATGGACTTACTATTGTTCAACCAGCTCTAGTTATAAATAACTCTGTATTACCACTGGGAACAACACAAAACTTAACCAGAAAACCAGCATGCTAATGGTGCTAATGCATCACTGGGGGACATTTAAAGGATTCTTTTTTTCTATGTGCCACTCAAAAGAAAATTTGCTCTGAGAAACTCAAAAAGGAAAAGAGACAAGACAAGGTTTGGTGACTGTATCTCACGGAGAAGCCTTTCGGGTCAGAAAGAGCTCTTTACAGCCTCGTGTAAATCCAGACAAGGAACATTTTTATGGCGAGCGCTGAAAATGAAAGGAAAGGACCTAGTGACAAATAAGCCCCAGAAGGTTTGGAGTTCCATTTGGGGTTGGATTACACTCTGGAATTTCCCATTCCAGATCCAGCCTCATTTGAAATTCTTTGAGCTAAACAATCAAATAAGATTAGGTTCTCTTGTGAGGTTTTTGATATTTCCTGGCTGCTGTTCAAAATTCGGGCCTGAAACAGCAAAGTGCTGAGAGTTACTAACCTCTCACTGACTTCAATGGGAGTTGAGAATGTGACCCCGGGTCCTTTGGGTGCCCAGTGGCAGAGGCCACAGGAGTGCATAGGATTACCAGGATTCCCTGGATCTGATCTCCATATAATCAAAGGGTGTCATGTAAAGCCTTTACTGGATACCTGTGCCACACGGATCATCATAATCATTGCACAGTGACTGGATGGATAATATATAAGGCGTTATGATTGTATACTGAAATTTATGCTTTTAAGGTCTGTGAGTAGGGGCTGGTCACCGGAAAGTGATCAATAAGTTTCTTTGAGGCAGGAGATGCTTATCTGCCTGAATGGCTGTATGTAGATGAGTAATTCTTCACAGTGGATGCTAATCAATAGAGCAACATTCTAATCAAGTGATTGCAAAGTCTCCAGAGGAGATTCGATACAAGAAAAACAAACAAACAATAGGGGGTACCCTGTTTACAAGTGAAGACAATGGACGCTTGGAACTATATCTGGAGGCCCAGAGGTATCCTGTACCAGGTATCCTTCGCCTATTGGACGAACTGCCAGCTGGCTTGTCTTATGAATGGAGGATCACATTTGGTTTGGGTGTTTCATGCTGGGAGAGAGATTTGGGGGAGCTGTCCTTTGTGAGACAGGGGAATGTTTGGTTATCTAAGTTTAAGCTCTAGAAGTGTGTTATGATTTTATTTTTATGTAACCATTTGTTTACATTAATTTTATTTGCTGCTTCTCAAATCTCTGACCTTTGTGAATTAAACTCTACTTGTTTTCACTCTAAACGTATCTAAGTGTGTTAAATGGAGCGGTGATGCTGAGGTGACACCGGTGACGTGGTGTGTAGCAAACCTATGAATTCTGTGAGTGTCCAGTGGAACAGGGGCTGGACATTCTGGGGCTGCACAGAGGGCTCGGCAGTTGGACTGTACTGATTGCTTATCTGTAGAAGGACAGTGGAGCTGGATGGGGTGAGAAGGGTGTGCTTGTGTTTCCTGTGGCTGGCAGAGTCAGGAGCTGACACCTGGCAGGCACAGAGGAGGCTTCCTCATGCTAAGGGCAGGTGGTAGTGAGGTACCTCACAATCCTGGGGACCCTCAGGAGGTGGCATAAAGGGTCCATAACACTTCAGAGAAGGTGCCTGGTCCTTCATAGTCCAGGGTTCTTTGTTCAAAATTTATTAGACCCATTCTCCATCCACTATAAAATCACTCCTCAATGGTCAGATTTCTTGGCTCCATCTCATTCTCCAATTCACTGTCTATCTGGGTTTGGGGACTGAGAGGAATCATCAGGCAAAGGTTAAAGAACAACAGGCAGAAGACGTCTGGGTTGTTGATGTTTATAGTTGTCAATAGGGAAATAATCTTCTCATGACAGCTGAATATTGGAAATTTTACAACAGAGAACAAGGAAGAAAAAACACACCAAACAAACAAACCCCACAACAACCCCCAAATTCTTGCAATTAACCATCTGCTTTACCTCTTGTTTTACACTCAGTTCCTAAGAACATCTCTGGAGATGATAGGTGACAGTGCCTGGAGCAGCCAGATAAGCCTTGAGTTGAGCCAGCAGATGGACGGCTATGCCAGCCCCTCCAAAGAGAAGGTTTGTTATCTGTTAAGGCTTAGTTTCTAGTTAATTTCCCTTGAAATTCTGACTGGGGGGCTGCATAAGGCTTCTCTCATGGCTTCATTACTTTATATTTTATTCTGCATATAAAATTTGTTTTTAGTTGTTTCCTGCTCTCTTGCCGCCCGCCCGCCCGCCCTTCCAATATTTGCTTGGACAGGCTGCTTGTCTGTACTGCATTGTTGGTTCTCTGGCTGGGCTAGATGGTGGGATGTTTCTGCGGTCTGGATGCTTGGACTTGGCTATCGTGTTCCTTCCTGAGTGTTGCTGAGCTGGGTCTGTACTGACAGGCACGTTGTGTTACTGATCTCTCAGGGCTGGTCTCTTTCTTTCAGAGTTTCCTGTATAAGGCGCTAGGAACATCCTTAGCAGTTTGTCAGGACCTGGTCCATGTTAAATCACAGATTCATACATTTCTGACGACAACAGATTATACGGAAGCCCCTGAGAGAGAGGTGAGGACTCTGTCCCTCTCCCCACTTTACCAAGTAACCCCTGAATGCTGCCTGTGGGGCTCAGCTCTGAGTTGGCCTGGGACAGATGCCATTTTGCTTCATATCCTCTTCATTGCTATTTCACTCAGCCCCCGCTCCCCATGTGTCTCAGGCCTCACTGGCATTTTACACCACTTCAGGTGAAAGGAATGGAGTCGTGGGGTCTATCAGGCACCTAGTTAGATCCTAACCAGTATTTTTCTTGGGTGACAGGGAGTCATTTCCATGCTCGCATTGTCTGCTGAGAGCCACTTGGACCTCACCTTGAACGCACTTCAGGAGTTTGGGGCTGCAATGAGCAAGGTTAAGATTTCTGGGTTCATCGGCCGCCTGAAGGTAAAGGAGCCAGGGGCTTCTCTCAAACTTCCTCTCCCTCTAAACCCGGGGCAGCAACCCTGTGGTAGTGTCTGCTCTGGTCAGCTAGCATTGTCCCCCAATGTATGCGTTCTACGTGATGCCTGCAGTTAAGCAGAGAGGAGCACAATCTGGAGCTGAGGTTCTCTCAAATGATTTTTATCGTCTGATGTCTTTTCCATGCAAGCGACTGATGTAGTTCCCACACATTGTGCATGGGAGGAGCGCTCAAGCCATGAGACATCAGATGATAAAAATCATTTGAGAGAACCCCAGCTCCAGATTGTGCTCCTCTCTGCCTAACTGCAGGCAGTCTGTTGTAAAATGATGGTAGATACACTGGAGGGTAGGGATAGGATACAGAGGGACCTAGACAAATTAGAGGATTGGGCCAAAAGAAACCTGATGAGGTTCAACAATGACAAGTGCAGAGTCCTGCACTTAGGATGGAAGAATCCCATTCACTGTTACACACTAGGGACCGAATGGCTAGGAAGCAGTTCTGCAGAAAAGGACCTAGGGGTTACAGTGGATGAGAAGCTGGATATGAGTCAACAATGTGCCCTTGTTGCCAAGAAGGCTAATGGCATTTTGGGCTGTATAAGTAGGGGCATTTCCAGCAGATCGAGGGACGGGATCGTTCCCCTCTATTGGACATTGGTGAGGCCTCATCTAGAGTACTGTGTCCAGTTTTGGGCCCCACATTACAAGAAGGATGTGAAAAATTGGAAAGAGTCCAGCAGAGGGCAACAAAAATGATTAGGGGGCTGGAGCACATGACTTATGAGGAGAGGCTGAGGGAACTGGGATTGTTTAGACTGCAGAAGAGAAGAATGAGGGGGGATGATAGCTGCTTTCAACTACCTGAAAGGGGGTTCCAAAGAGGATGGATCTAGACTGTTCTCAGTAGTACCTGATGACAGAACAAGGAGTAATGGTCTCAAGTTGCAGTGGGGGAGGTTTAGGTTGGATATTAGGAAAAACTTTTTCACTAGGAGGGTGGTGAAGCACTGGAATGGGTTCCCTACAGAGGTGGTGGCATCTCCTTCCTTAGTGGTTTTTAAGGTCAGGCTTGACAAAGCCCTGGCTGGGATGATTTAGTTGGGAATTGG